TGAAATAGTTGGGCCAATGGCATGCTTGCACCCACTGCCTGCTTCCTGTGAGTCTGCCTAAAGGAGCTGAAAAGGTCAAATTCATTTATATAGCACATTTAAAACAACCACAGTTGACCAAAGAGACTAGCCACAGTAACAGCTACAGGAATAGATATCCGTAGCCAAAGAAACATATAGTAGCCAATAACCATACAGCCACAGCAACAACCACTGCTTCAACCGTAGCCTCAGCCCACAGCCAGGCACAGGCAGTGGATGTACACTATCAGAGAACACACATCACTCCTCCTTTGTGTAGAACTTGCAGAGCCTTACCCTGAATTGGCAGTGCTGCCTGCAACAACTTTGGCCCAACACACTGAGCTGTTCCTACGGATCAGGGGGAATGCAGAAGTTATCGTGAGGGAGCCCAAAATTTTGTCTGCAAAAAATTCCCACTGTGGCCTTTTGGTGTATATTCTATACTATAACCAATTAGAACAGACCTGCTCTGCGGGAAGCTAGTGAACGCCTCAGATTAAGGATTTTTACCACAGCACAGAAAATTGCCATTCACAGTCATGCACCAACTGACCAAAGCTCTGTGGACAGCATATGTGTGTTAAACAGTAAGTTACTTGGGGAAAAAAATATTGAGTAGTTATAATTACTTGTTAGTTATCTCAAAAGTAATTGAATCATGTGACTAATGCTGCATATAAAAATAATTAAATACTACGTAAAGTAATTTTTGTATTACACTTAAATGTCTACATCCATAGGCCGCATCAGATATGGGGGGAGCTAAGTAATTAGGACGATTGACGGATGGGGGTTGTTGTTATCCAACAAAACAAATCCATCCATAATTTCCCAATAAACTAAAGAACGGACTAATTCAGCTCACTAATTTTACACTGCAAAAAATAACGTGACGTAAGAGACATAGTGACTTCACGTGTGACAGAGAAACATCCCCACTGATCTCAGGACAGTGACAGCCTAATAACCTACGTTGAATACCAATATGTTGATAATGAATGGTGGATCTGCGACTGAACTAGCACTGTAGCAATGTGAGGGAGCTGGTGAAGTGACTTTTTTTTCAGTGATAATTATGGGAAAACTAAGCTTCCCCTAGCCTTTTAATAGTGCCTACCTATCAACTACCTGTCAGCTACATTACATTAGTGTTGCTGTGGGACAAGACAAATTTATCTAGTTATTAATACTCCCGACCACCAGAGGGCACCAACAAATAGCATTCCTACCTGTAAAGCCCAGCTCAGACCCAAGATTCACAACGAGACCAAACAGTTTTGGAACATTACAGTGAAAAGTTGCATTGGTGGGAACTGGCAGATTTCAGAACATTGCAGACCAGTGTGTTACAAGTAGTTGCAAGTTTCAACTTGTCTGGTTGCAAATCTTTGGTCTGAACTGGGTTCAAGCTACATTTATTGTCTTGGTTAATATATGGGAGGATTCAGTAGAAGAAGACCCACAGGGATTTGAACATTAACCGAGCTTTGCTACAGTAGTTAAAATAATTATTTGATAAATGAACTGAACTGTCTTGGGCCACCGTAACGTTGGGCGATCATGCTCGGATGCACTGGTTTGTCTATCGTCTTCTAAAGTTGTCCACTATTTTCAGGTACGACAAGAGGAATGAAAGGAGCCCATTTAAATGTCAGCAATTGTAATTGCAGTATTTAATTTGAAAACGTAATTAGTTTTATCACTGCCAAAAGTAGTGGAATTACAGTAGCTGTTGTTGTAGTGTTACTTTATAACTCCCAACACTGGTAAAATGAACAAACCTTTATATTTGGGCTTGAGATATGGCGCCATATATAAACTGCAAAATACACCTAAATATAGCATTTAAAATACATTTCTCATACAGTGAAATAAACATTAAGATCATTGTTTTGTTTTGCTTTTGGATTTATGGATAAATGAAAGTTAATTTGAAATATCTGGCACATTTCCTTCCTCATCCATACTCTTTATCTATTGTGACTCTTCACATTATCCTTGTTTGGTTTAGGTAACAAACAGCCGCCGTTCTTTTTCAGTACCAGGGCCAGTTGGAAATCATCTTCTTCCCTCTGTATTATTTATTAGCTGCAACTTTTATTGCAGATATAGAAGATATTTGATTGTTGAGTCTCACTCCCAGGTTGTCAAATACTGATATTCAACAATCACCCATCTTTCTTGGCAACAACAAACACAGATTATTTTGTGTACTAGGCTAAATTAGCTGTTAGCGGAGTTAAGGCAAAGCAGCTGGAGGATGTTAAAAGGAAAATAGTTTAGCCATAAAATATGATTCTGTTTCACCCTAATCACTAATAAAGTTGTGTTTTTGTACAGTAATCAATGAGGTCCGGCCCCCAGAAACGCTCTTGTAGCTAGCCATGCTTTTATCATTTTCACAGACTCTCATTCACTGGATTCACTGATCCAGGATCATATGAATGCTTTTATGCCTTCTGTGTGATTATGTGTTGAAATCACTTGAGGCATTTCCTTTATTTTCATTCACTGAGACAGGGAGAATGATAATAATTTCAGTGTAACATTGGCTACTTTATAGTGTTCAGACTCTGTGAAGGACTATTTCTAGTGACTGCTTACTGACATATTTTGGGAGAAGTACAGATTACATGTGCGTGTCGGAGAGATGGATGCATTCACACCTTGTCAGCATCTGGAAACTGGAAAGCTTCTCGGATTTCAGTTGGTCTTGAATGCTTCTCGGATGCATTAATGTACACTTACTTTTTTGATATCTGACAGCTATAGTTTGCACAAAATGCATGAAGGGACTAGGTTTAAGTGGGTTCTCAAGGATTTAAAACCACCCTCCAGTCAGAAATCAGTGTTTCTTGTTCCTACAGTATGATGTAGTGATGGGAAGTGTTTTGGCTCGGCTCACTAAAATGAGCCGGCTCTTTCGGCTCCCAAGTGGCTCCTCAGATTTTTTGTTGCTTAAATTAATTTATTACCAAATCATGTGTAAAATAAATTACTAATGTAAAAACATACATTATATCAAATATTTATTATTTATATGGCTTTTTTAATATACTCAACATGGAACAGAGTGCTACAAAAATAAATTATAGAATACAAAAATAAAGGCCCATCTCAATTAGACAAAAAGCTGCTTGATATGAAACGATACGTTTCTTGTCACTCATTTTCTTCAGCTTTCCAGTGTGTAGTCTCTGTCTATGTAGTGCCAAGTTCTCTCACTTTCTCACGTCTCCCTCCCTCCTGATCGGTGCTCACTGTGCTGTGTGTGTCTGTACCCCCCCCCCTTAAATTTTAAGGGGCGAGGCCTACCGGCATGATTTGTGACATCACAATTAATTTGGAAGTCAATCCTGGTCCAGTATGCAACTTATAATGCAGAAATTCCACCAGGCAAGGCTTTATGACACCGCATCTCTTATGGGTTTTGGCTCCATCATCTTCAAATCCCACCGAAAGCATCTTCAGAGCGTCTTGCTTGCCTGATGTTGTTGACGTGAAATACTGTGGTGTCATACAAAATGTGTTCTTCTCTACTTCCAAGAAGAACTTCCCATTGTCCATGGTGTCAAATCTCCTCTGATCTGCCTCTGATTGACTGACTTCTGACCTGCTGCCACAATGTTGTCACTCCTGTTTTTTTTTTTTTTTTAAATTGACCCAATTCTATGCCAGACTTCCTAACAATGCAATCTGCTGCCAGCCATGAGAGAGACTCTACTGGGACCCCCCACAGCGCTTCTGGCGTAATCACAAGCACTGTTTAGAACGGGGGCGATCAGCTCTGGCCACAGCTGGAACACGTCCCTGCCACGCCTGGTGGATTTTGGCCTTAGGTGTGATGTAGAAACCTGAAGCCACCAGTGCACATCCACTGAGAATGGACGTTACAGTGAAGTAGGAGACATCTTGTGTCCAGCAGGAAAACTTTAGAAATTAAACATGTGCATATTCAGAGATTCTGGAAGTTGTAATGAGGTAGAAGGAGTAGATTACTTTTTGAGGATTGTAATGTTGAAATTTTACTTTTTTTGCATAAAAACAATATATATCAGAACATAATCTTGTTCCAACAGAATATTTGACTTTGTGGAAGCAATTCGTGGTTCTGGCCTCCAGATCCACATAATTTCTGATAATGGACACCTCGAAGGGTATATCCCACTTGTGCCATGGTCACTTGCCAGAAAAAAAAGCTAATTATTTTTTATTTTCATGCGTTTTGCCATCCAAATCTAAAGTTTTTTTTTCATGACATAACTCTGTTTCCCTGGTAACACCTGAGGGTTTAACTAATACCTGGAAACTAATAGCATTACCATACCATAATGGACTAATACAATGGTTGTTCATTACTCCAGTAAATAGGACGAACTTTAGATACGACTTGGCAATGACTTATATCTAGTTTCCTCCACCTAAAGAACCCTACAACCTGCAGCCAATCAGAATCAAATATTCACCCAGCCCATGGTATAAGTCTGAATACAAGTCAAGAGAGGACCTTTAACGTTTCCAACATCATCATTACACAAATGGCCTTACATTCACTTCAGAGAAACACAATTTATACACTGCAGCTCAAAATACATGCATCATTCAGAGTGTCAGAAAATGTTAGACACGGCCCCTTATTTTGACACACTTACTCTCCGTCAAGAGTCACTTCAAGCAAAATTAGCTTGTGTTATTCAATCCTGGCCACGGGGCATGGATGCCTTGCCCAAAGGATGGAGCCCTTCAGGCAGAGCCGCCCACATGGCTTTATTTATGTCTGGAGTTATTCAGACACAACAAGCACAGGTCTATTAGGCAGGTTGAATGTGCAATGTATTTGATCTCTTCCTCTCTTACTGCCTGTTGCTGCAGACATTTAACATGCGACACAAACAAGATCGGAATATGAACATACCTAGCCAGTGTCGCAGAGACTCATTACAGGTGTGCTAAAACAGCTCTGTGATGAATGCCGGTTCACTGATTTCCCATGGCATCTAATGAAAGTTCTCTAAGGTGGGGGGATTTTGGTTAAAACCTGGAATGGACTGGCATCACTCTGAGATGATTGGTGGTGCCATCCAGCAGCTGAAGAGAAACCCAAGCAGATTAAAAGGTGATTAAACTCTCCATAATCTCATTAAATGGTAAAGAAGAAGCTAAATGGGATCACTGCTCTGGAAGATAATTCATGGAAACTCCCACGTTATCCCCATCAACCTCTGGTGTCCTGTCTGTGTGGGAAGCACTTTAGGAAGTTGAGTCACTGCAACAACAGTTCGAGGTTTTAAAGCTTCACTTGGCAACTTTATGCACTGCTGGCTCCAAATGCAGATAGATGTAAACACTGAATGTAATCTTCAATTAATGGAGTTTGGTCTGTGATGCTTTATGCCAGAGGCAAAAGATAAAATGTTGGTGAGTTCCACTTTTAAGGTGGATTACCAACGGGGCAAAGCTAGCAAACACCCATGGGCTCCAGATATAGATCAGGGGCCCCAATTGGCCATGGTCCAGTGTGGTGATTAGTTTTTGGTAATTTGATTAAAGCCCCATTATGTAACTTTTCTACCTAAAGATAACAGTTGCAAAATAATTCTGATCCATTCCCACTCTGTGCCCTTTATACCTGTTCTTGCAGGCGCTTTGGACTGCTGAGAGGAGGAGGTTTTCAAGTCTGTGGCGGTTCAACATGGCAGACACCACCAGAAGAGGACCCGCTCCCTCTGTTGATGAAAACAGCTCATTCTAAGGTAACAAAAACACAATGATTTTTATATTCAGATGATTATACACTAATAAAAACATAACTATGAATATTATATTCCATTTCTGACAATAGTTCCTCCTAAATGTTACACACTGGAACTTTAAAGAGGACCTGTGTGAAAATCAAAACAGCCAAATCAAAGCGACACAGCTTTTATGATCCTGACTTTTATTCTCAGTTATAGGTCAAACCCCCAAACACTGGATTCTACATTTCCTATGACGCAACTCAATTTCTTCTTTGGTTAGACCCACTCTGCTAGGTAAATGTCCATTTCTTTTTAACTCCAAACCCCAACAAAGGCTGTCTGCTAAAAAATGAATTATTTACTAAGCACAAGACAAATAACCCTGATGAGTTTGGTTTGTTTTTCCCTCTCAAGGTTTGATTGATTGCTTCATGTAGGCAGAAAAGATTTCCCACCAGTGTTTACACCAAACAAATAGCAGAAATGAAGTTTTTAGCTGAAGTTCAAGCAGAAGGACAATTATCACTCTATTCTCTTTTCACTCCAGGTTTCTGTCTAATAATTACTATCCAATGGAGTATTTTTAATTGTGTCCAAGGACTTTTCCAATAATCGATGATTGAGCGAGCTGCATGGCACGAACAAAAGCAAAACAAAGTATGTGGACAGCAGGGAAGTAGCACAGCTATTATCTTTTATCAGAAGTTATATCACACTTGTAGTTGCCAGTTGCATACTGGACCAGGACTGACTTCCAAACTATTTGTGATGTTACAAATCATGCTGGTACTTAATTTATAGTGATCCCAGACTGATGGTTGACTATGAAGACTTTATAATTTTGAAACCTTAAAATAAAAATAATACTCAAAGGAGATTCCTTAACATAAAATCCTCTCAAATTGGGGGTCCGTGGTCTAATGTGCATCTATTGTGAGGATCCTTGATATGAAAAAGTTTGGAAACCACTGCAAAGAGGATACCGTGTCAGCTTTATGTGAGGCAAAACGTGACTCTGACACGGTATCCTCTTGAAGAAGTATAAAGGTGCAGTACCAGCAGTAGTGTAAATAACAACAAAGTCCTTGTTTGAAAGAGGTGGGTGGATGAATAACTTAAGCAAGCACAGGACTTTCACCTAGGAGGCCACCCTTTAAGTCCTGTGTCTCAACATGGATTTTGTCTTTTCTTAAACTTAACCAAGTATTTTTATAATTCATTGTAGTAACTTTTAAAGTGTAACTTTTATTTCTTTCATTATTGCTAACTTGAACACAGACACGTTGAAAACTTCACACTGCCACGTCTAAGTGATCCAAAATGTGGCACTGCCAAAGTTGTCCGTGCGTACAATATGTGGACCATGTGTATTACACTTTGCCACGATACCGGGTTGGCTACACACCCTTCCACCACCCGGGCCTCCACACCCTCCATTCCTCCACATAAAAGACCTGCAGCTTCCTGCTCTGGCACTGAATCTTGGCATTGGACATAAATTATGAGGACCGGAATCGACCGATATGGATGTAATTTTCTAAGTACGCTAAGCTGATTTCTTTATGGACTTGCCTTTGTGCACGGGGGCATTTGTCAAGCAGGACAGGCCTTCCCACAAAGGCACTCTGTCGTCTAAAATAAGATTTTATGCTGTAGAATTTAGGTTATCCTTAATTGGAACAAAGGGGCCTAGCCCAAAATCTTAGAAAACAACTCAAAGTACACCACCTATGTGGACTGGGGTATCCATTGTATACATCTTTTTGCTTTTATTGCAGTTTATTCTAATTTACCTCTTCATCCTTACACTGCAACAGCTGTCAAGGCTGTTTCTATGGTTCCCCAGGGAAATCGCTACAACAAATTAAATTTATGTCTTCCTTGTATATTGATTTTTCAGCAGGGTCAATGCCAAAGAGCTTTTGAATATTAAAATATGCATCTGTATGTTGTATCACTTGTTGCAATATATATATATAATATGTGAAGGTTATTCATTAATTTACATTGTAATTTAGGATGAGCAAATCTCAAAGAATGGAACAATAATTAGAGTATACTATCTGTCCCTGCAATACTCTGCAATTAAAGAAGGGAAAAGGTCTGATGTAGCCCCACTTTGTGATTCAGGCTGATGTGACTGCTGTCTTAGCCTGCACTGCTTTCACATCTCTTTTATGCAGAGGTGGAAAATTGAAAGGATTCAAAGACAAGAGACGTTCTGGGCTGTTAGAGGAAGACTGAACAGGGAGCAGAACAGGAGAGGAAGGTGTATTAGAAGGAGAATCTTTTGTCAGAATGCTACAAGATAAAAAGCTGCACCAGATTAACACAAGAAGTCCTCTTTACCTAATAAAGTGTGTTGGAGTATCTTATCGGAGGAAGACAAATTGACATTCCACTCAGCAGCAGTCCACCGCAGCAGTCGTATGCTGCTGTTTGATTACCCTTCTCTCACTCCCATATCCATGTTGAAAATTTTCCTTAAGCCTTAAAGACAAGTCTGTAACACTATAATGGCTTACAGCACTTCACAAATGTAGTGCCCATATTGTCTTTCAAGTTGAGAGCCATTTATGGTAGCAGTTTAGCTTCATTTACTCCAACAAAGTAGATAATTGTCTGTTTAAAGGCTGAATTGTCATCTTTTCAGAATAATGGGTTGCCAAGTAGCAAGCATGGGGAGTTCAGATTTCTCACTCTTTTGTTGTAAAAATTAGACTAATGGTATGTCTGCACAGGAGGTCTTTTAGCCGCGTATTTCGTCCGTCTCACACCCGTCCGATGGAACAGATACGCTTCTATTTTAATCAGTCTCACTAGCCTATTTATTTGCTTCAAGTCTATTTTCTTCCTTTATACGAGTGTAGCTACAGTAATCATACATTGGGCTCTCAGTGCTGCCAAAATACAGGTCAAATACACTCAATATTGTGCCTCAACCATAGACTGTAAAACTCAAAATGGACGTAGTCTCTGTGAAGTCACCCATAGGTTTCTGAAGAGCTGTTATGAAGCTCAAGTGCGGTGGCTCTGGTTATGGCTATCTTGGCAGTTCTGACTCCATCGACCCCAGGCTAATCCAAAAATGGGCACACAGGTGGAGCCTTGATGGAGCAGAGGCCAGCTGAATGAAGTCTTTTATCAAGTGGCGTGGGCGTGATCTAAAAATACCGCACCACCACATGTGGAACACGAGTGCTATTTGTATGTTTGGCATGATTGAAAACTATATTTAAAACTAAATTTCATCAGTTTTAATTCACAGTTTATTCTAAAAGCTTCTGCTCTGTAGTGTCTGTATCGAGATCTAAACACAATATTATAGAATACAGTTAAATGGTGAGATGTGATATAATATGCCGTCACATTGTGTGTGATAAATAACAATTTACTGGATCATTTAATATTAAGTGTTGTGGCATCACACAAAGAAACTGTTTTTATTTTACACTACAGTCAACATACACACATTCTTACACAGCTCTGTGGGTTTTTATTGTGCAGATAACAATAAAGCCAGTAAACAGGCTACCTAACCAAAGTTAGCATAACAAAAAAAAACACTGATTTGTACATATATTAGAATACACCTGTTTAAAATCAATAGTAAATTATCAACAACAGTAATAATACTTCTAAAATGGACAGTTTGACAAGTAACTGACTGTCTTACTGACTCTGTGGATGAAGGATTTCTAATTTGGCAGATTCGGGTCCTCCACCCTTGCGTGTCTTCCACGTATCTCTCTCTCAACTCTTTGCTGGGAGGAGCTAAGACGTGAGAAAGGAAGAGAGTGAGAGAAACAAGCATAATGAAAAGCAACCCATATTTGTCAGCCACAGAGGTTCAACACATCCTGGGTAGCACTGACTGCTTTATTCCACCAGGCCTGGTTGCATTGCATTCTGGCTGAGGTGATTGCTGCCACATTGACAGTGCTCATGATTCCACCAGAAGCAGCGCAGCGCATTTCAGAAGCATCCCAACTGCTCTGAGGAGCATATGCAGCTGATCTATTTTTGACAGAAGCTGTGTCAAACAGAAGAGATTCAGCCGGCCGGAAGTTAGATACAGAAACGGCATAGAGAATCCGGTCAATATTCAAAATAAAACACCAAACTCCCGATTGTAACAACAGACAAAACGGAAACAATTTAACGACTAGCCTCTCTTTAAGGCAGTACTTAGATACAGTGATACTTTGAGCTAAATGCTAACATTCTCACAATGCTAGAATGCTAATGTTTAGTAGGTATAATGTTCATGTTCATCATGGTGACATGTTAATTTGCTAAAGTATTGGAAAAATTACAGTTTTGACCTGATGATGGCGCTAGAGTAAATGTTAAGCAAATTCATCCTGTGGGAAACATGAGTATCTTGGGACAATACTTGAGATATTTTACTTAGAAAGGTCCAGTGGTTCAGTCACTGTTTTCTGCTACACCCTTGGTTGAGGCGAACAGTTTCAGTTGGTTGCAATCTGCAATCTCACCATGAGACGCCCCTAATTGCTACACAGTGGTCCTTCAGAATGACAAATGTCATCCTCATGGTGGCACTAGAGGACGGGGACGTGCCAAATCACATGGCAATATTGAGATACTTCAGTCTGGACCAAAGTGGTGAATCTGCTGAACAAATGTCATCTCTGGAGCAACCTGGCTAAAAATTCTCCTTTGCCAGTTCAAGCATTAAATAGGTGCTATCTGCTAATGAATGAACATTAGATTTTCATTTTCTGAATCAAACTGAAAGGTTTGAGAGTCTTTAGCCATTTTTAAGTGGAAGAGCTACTCGGTCTGCTCATGTTATCAGGGCATTGCAATTCAACACACACTCACAGACACACCACTGAGGCTAAAACAACATGTGCTCCTTTGCTCCTGAAGCAGTTTTCCTGCAGTTCGGCAGGGTTCCGCTGTCGCTCTGAGTGGCTAATTGGCCTTAAAAAGACCGCTAAATAGTTTTCAACTGAAGATCAGTTTGGAAATGCTTTCAATTAA